TCTTCCCCTCCCCCCCTCCTCCGTCTTCCATGCGTTTCGCCCGCCCATCACAACGTTTCGTGGCCTCATAAGGGGGCCCCACCGAAGGTCCCAGTGGCGCCGCCCGCATGCGTCCGCCACCGCCCAGCACAGCCGTTGCCCCCTGCGTTTCGCCCACCCATCACAACGTTTCTTGGCCCCAAATGGGGGCCCCACCGAAGGTCCCAGTGGCGCCGCCCGCATGCGTCCGCCATCAGCCAGCGCAGCCTTTGCTCCCTTCGTTTGTCCCACCCAGTACAGCGTTTCGTGGACCCACATGGAGTTTCACGGAAGGTCCCAGTGGCACCGCCTACATGCGTCCGCCACCACCCAACACGGCCGTTGCCCCCTGCGTTTCGCCCACCCAGCTCAACGCTTCGCGGTCTCATAAAAAGGGGCCCCACCGAAGGCCCCAGTGACACCGCCCGCGTGCGTCCGCCACAACCCAGCACAGCCTTTACTTCCTGCGCTTTTCCCACCCGGTACAGCGTTTCGTGCCCCCATAGGGAGCTCCACGGAAGGCCCCAGTGGCACCGCCCGCATGCGTCCGCCACCGCCCAGCACAGCCGTTGCTCCGTGCGTTTCGCCCACCCATCACAACGCTTCGTGGCCCAATGGGGGGCTCCACCAAATGTCCCAGTGGCACCGCCCGTATGCGTCCGCCACCAACAGCCATTGTTCCTTGCGCTTCACCCACCCAGTACAACGCTTCGTGGCCACGCAGGGGGCCCCACCGAAGGTCCCAGTTGCATCGCCCGTATGCGTCCGCCACCAGCCAGCGCAGCCTTTGTTCCCTTCGTTTGTCCCACCCAGTACAGCGTTTCGTGGCCCCATATGGGGGCTCCACCGAAAGCCCCAGTGGCGCCACCCGCATGCGTCCACCACCACCCGGCACAGCCCTTGCCTTCTGCGTTTCACCCACCCAGTACAACGCTTCGTGGCCACAGGGGGCTCCATGGAAGGTCCCAGTGGCACCGCCCGCATGCGTCCGCCACCACCCAACGCGGCCCTTGCTCCCTGCGTTTCGCCCACCCAATACAACGCTTCGTGGCCCCATAAGGGGGCCCCACCGAAGGCCCCAGTGGCACCGCCCGCATGCGTCCGCCACCACCCAACACGGCCGTTGCCCCTTGTGGTTCACCCACCCAGTACAGCGCTTTGTGGCCCCATAGGGAGCTCCACCGAAGGACCCAGTGGCACCGCTGGCATGCGTCCGCCACCACCCGGCGCAGCCCTTGCTCGGTGTGCTTCGCCCACCCGGTACAGCGCTTCGTGGCCTTATAGGGAGCTCCACCGAAGGTCCCAGTGGCACCGCCCGCATGCGTCCGCCACCACCCAACGCGGCCCTTGCTCCTTGCGGTTCACCCACCCAGTACAGCGCATCGTGGCCCCATGAGAAACAACACCGAACAAATATTTATAATCGCGGCACTCACAGCTGCATCTGGTTGTGTCTTTCGCCAGGCTAATCTCCCACATCCAAAGTGGGGTTCTTGTTTTCCCAACATCCAAAATGGGGCTCTTGTTTTCTCTGGACACCCCGCGCAGGAAGTGGAACCCACCATCATCATCTTCATCACTCATTCCTCACTCAGCCACTCACTCATCATCCCTCACACACTCATTCACTCACTCACTCACTCACTCACTCACTCACTGACTCATCAGTACTCACACATGATGATGATGATGAGTGTGCGCGTGAGAGAGTGTGATGATGATGACGAGCATCATCATCATCATCATCATCACCATCACCAGTTAGTCAGTCAGTCAGTCAGTCAGTCAGTCAGTCAGTCACTCATTCACTCACTCACTCACTCGCCCCGGGCCTCGTCTGTAAGTGAATTGCGAGGAAGTCTCAAGCGGGAGCCCCCTCCCTATGGGGCCCGCGGGCCATGTTATTAATCCGAACGGGTCATCCAATTCCAGTAACTGTCGCCACTTTTGGGCCCCCGCGCTGCCAGAACGCCACTCCCAGGCCACATTTGTGAGTGAATTGCGAGGAAGTCCGAAGCGGGAGCCCCCTCCCTATGGGGCCCGCGGGTCACGATTGTAATCCGAGCGGGTCGTGAAATTGTTGTATAGTCGCCTGTTTTGGGCTCTCGCGCTGCCAGAACGCGACTCCCAGGCTACATTTGTGAATGAATTGCGAGGAAGTCTCAAGCGGGAGCCCCCTCCCTATGGGGCCCGCGGGCCATGTTATTAATCCGAACGGGTCATCCAATTCCTGTAACTGTCGCCACTTTTGGGCCCCCGCGCTGCCAGAACGCCACTCCCAGGCCACATGTGTGAGTGAATTGCGAGGAAGTCTGAAGCGGGAGCCCCCTCCCTATGGGGCCCGCGGGTCACGTTTGTAATCCGAGCGGGCCATCCAATTCCTATAGCTGTCGCCTGTTTTGGGCTCTCGCTCTGCCAGAACGCCATTCCCAGGCCGCATTTTGAATGCCTGGAGCCAACTGTAGGTAACTTTGTGTTTTTCGTGTCTCCAGAATATCACTCCCGGGCCACTTTCCGAATGTCCGGAGCCAACTGTGGGCCACATCGTGTTCTTCGTGTTCCCAGAACACTACTCCCGGGCCACTTTCTGAATGTCCGGAGCCAGAACAGGAGGGCGAGGTCGGGGGCAACGTAGGGGGCGGGGGGAGGGCCCGCGCCAGGGCGAAAAGAAATATACGCAGAAGAGACAGCCAGGACGCCTCACCAACCACGAGGACGACGGTGAGGGCGTTTTCCAGATTCGCCCAGAGGATTCTCATGCGGGGCCCTTCCGTCGGAGTATTTTTCTTTGAACCTTGGACATGTCAGGCTTGGCTTGAGCCACCCGATGGGTGTTTTGCAAGAGGTCGTCTTGGGAACCATTAACTTGCGGGAGGGGGGGCCTTCGAGGACGGGCTTCGAAACCGTCGACGACGGCTTGGCCGTCGACGAAATTGTAGGCGGGCCTGTCAGCCCTGGCGCGCAGGTGACGGAGCGCCAGGGTCCCGGCGCGTTGTGCTGACTGCACAAGGAGTTCGTCACGGGCGAGGTCGGCCTGCGGGTCGAGGAGTTTCGCGTCTTCCCCCAGGAGGCCACGGTGCCGCGTGCGCGGCGGAAGGTCCCTCCACTGGTCCTCAGAAGACACGATGGCCAGGGCCTTGCGTTCGTTGGCCCTGCGCGGACATCTCCCGACGGTGTGTCAGTGTCAATTGTGTTTCTTCTTCTTGGTTACACCGGCGGCACAGTGGGAATGGGTCAGGAGAGATGCCCGCCCGAATTTCCCATGTGGCTCCCACCGCCCAGGCAGTTGCGCAGGAGGCTGAGTTTCGCCGCGGCGCCTTTGGATTGGCCTTTGGGCCCCTGGAGCCGCGAACTGGCAAAGTAATCGAGGATTTTTATTTCGGCCGCCGCCGAGCATGTCTAGTGGCGGTGGCTCGTCCGGGGAGGCGTCGTTTCCGCGATGTTCCGAGCACGTGCGCGAATGTCCCACTCGGAAGGTTCAGCCATGATGAGTAGGCGCATGCCCCAGTCGTCACACGTCGCACCGCGGGCTGGCCAGTTCCATTCCAGCCGGGCGACGGTTTGCCAGACTCTCCCTGCGGGGCCGCCGCCATGGGGGGTCTGCGCGCGGTCGCGGACCTCTTTGGTTTTGGCATTGGGATTGGCGCCCCGTCGCACCTGCCAGCGCAGCCCAAGGAGGGCCTCGCGCTGCGCGATGGCATCGAATTCCATGGCGCGGACTGGGGCGATGAGGGTGCACGTGGCCCACCGGGGTGGCAATGGTCGCCCATCGGTGCGAATGGCGGCGAACGCCGCCCCGTTGCATGGGTTGCGGGCTTTCGCGCTGGGCGCTTGGACGTCGGCGGTGGCGCACATGCTTGCCGCCGGGTGCCTTGCCGAGCGGGCTCTCAAGCGGGTGCTTTCGGGAGGGCGCCTGGCGCGGGGGGGCCCGGCCACGGCGCGGCGGGCCCGGGCGTCGGTGGCGACGCGGAGGTCGAAGTCAGGGCTCTTCGCTTCGCGTGCAACGTCGATGCATTCCCGAACAGGCTTCGCTCGGCGGCGAGCTGGAGATGTCCGCCGTGGTTCAGGGCCGCCGCCTGGCACTGGAGCTTTCCGTCGAACGGCCCGCCCCGGCATTTTTCTTGGGTGGGTTTTGTGGCCCGAGGGGCAGTCGAGCAAATTTGCCTGGCAACGCTCGTAGTTCACAGGCCGCAGGGGCAACGGGGCCGCTGTCATCGACGAGCGCGGCGCCGAGGGGGCGCGGCGCTTGCCGGCGCCGTCGCTCGGCCCAGACGCGCGCGAGTTTGCTGATGGCGCCGTCGGGCGAGAGGGAGTTCATGCGATTGAGGCGCATGTCCGCGACGAGGTTGTCGCGGCATTTTGGCGCGTCGAGCCCCGCGCCCGCGAAGGACCACCCCTGCAGATGACTGGCGCGCCCCGCTTGCGCGGCGAGCTCCGCGCGGGCGCCGCCGATGGCGGCGCGCGCCGAAGCTGGCGGGGGTCGGTCCAGCAGCGCGCTCCCCAGGTCGCAAGGCCGCGGTTGGCTGGCGCCTCCCGCGCGCGCATCCGCGCGGGCGCGGCGGAAGGGGGGCGCTGGTCCGCGGGCAGCCCCCCTGCGCTTTTTCGAGGGCGCTGGCCGGGGGCTTGGGGGCGGGGGGGGGGGGGGCGCAAGGGCGCCGTCCCGTCGCGCTGCGCGTCTCTCAGTGCTTCGGCGAACGGGCGACGGGCGACGCCTGTCGGCGTCTCGGCCCCCTCCGCGGCCCAGCCGTCCATGTCTCCCGCCCTGGTGGCGCGGCGGGGGCGGAAGAAGTGGGCGGGGGCCTCGTCGGCGAGGGCAAAGTTCCTGGCTGGCGGGGCGCGGCGGGGGAGTTCTGGTTCTCTGTTTCACATGTCTCCATTGCGGGGGTTGCATCGTCAGTCGAGGATCGTTTAAGCGGCTTCCGCGCCGGCGAGGATGTCGTCGCGCCCGGCCAGGGGGGCGCGGGGCAGTCCGAGCCCCCGAGCTGTCAGATGCAGAGCTGGAAGGGGCGTCCGTGGAGGCGTTCACGCGCGCGGAGCGCCGCGTGGCAAGTTGTCCGGCGTCGCGCGGCAAGGGCGCCGGCGGCGATCCAGGCGCGCCTGGATCTGGCATGCATCCGGGCATGGCAAGTGCCGCGCCGATTCTGGTCAGCCAGACGGCTGACCATAAGGGCTTCAAGAGCTTGAAATCGAAGTAGCAGCTGGTGCATCGCGAGCATCGCCAGGATCGCAGCTCCGTGATGCAGCTTCACCAGGGGGGGGGGGGGGGGCGAGTCTATGTAGCACGGCGCCGCGCCGTGCTTCGGCGGCATCCCGCGCGGTCTGCCATGGCCAGATGGCGGGGCGACGTGCCTGGGCCAAAGGTGGAAGGCGCGTGCAGTTTGATTGGCTTGCTCGAACGTACCATCCACGTCGCCGGCGCGGCGGCCCCCCCGCGCGCGCGGCTGGCGCGCGGATTCAATGCGGTCGCCTAGGGCATCGCCCCGCTCGGTCGCTGGATGCGTCAGCGGTCGCGGCGCGGTGCGCTTCGTGCTTCTCGCGGGCTGCCGCGCCAAGTCTAGGCCCAGCGTTGCCAGAGGCCTGAGGCACTGTTTCGCAGGGGGGGCGCAGCGCAGGGCGAAAACGGCAGCGAGATGTTTTCTCTGGCGTTGGCGGCGAGTCCAGCGAGCTCCTGGGGGCCAGTGGCCCTTGTCAAGATTGGGCACTGGATGGGCGTCTGCTCACGAGCTTGTCTAGAGGGCAGAGGAAGCAGGTCCCAGCTTCGCAATGAGATTCTAGAATTAGGAAGATTGAGTCTTTCGATGATGGGGGCACGGTGCCCGACATGACGCCTTTTTCGAATGCCTGCGCATGTTTGGAGCAATGTGTTTTCACTTGCGACCGCGTTGGTTTCTCATGGCGCCATTGTGCTATTGCTGGCAATGCTCGAGACAGCGCAACCCTCTACTTTGCGCGCCTGTCCCGCGCGTCGCCCTCGGCGCGTCGTGGCGCGCGTGCCCCTCGGCCACGGCCCGCCCGTGCGCCGTCTGCGCCGCCGGGAAAGAGCGCGGATGGAGGGGGGGATGCGGGGCGGCTTTGAAGGCGGGCGATGGCGACGAGGCGCCGGGATTGATGGGGGGGGGGCCGCGCGAGGATGTTGCGGGAGACAGCCGCGCCATAATCAATTTCTGTAGATGCATCGGCCGCAGTTTCTTCGCCGCCATAAACGCGCCATCCGCGCGATGGTTGCGTTTATTCTCTTGCAGAGGGTGTCTAGAGCTCCGACCATTTTATTTCGGCACCGCACCCCCCCCTTCATCATCATCATCATCATCATCATCATCATCATCATCATCACCATCACCCTCACCATCATCACCGTCGTAATCACCATCATCATCATCATCATCATCATCATCATCCACATCATCATCATCATGCGCCCCCTCCGTCTCAGCGCCCTCCCGCGGCTCCAGCGCCCGCCCAGTGCCCCCTCCGCCCCGACCATTTTATTTCGGCACCGCACCCCCCCCCCGCTCCGCCCCCTCCCCCGCGCCGTCTCAGCGCCCCCCGCGGCTCCAGCGCCCGCCCAGTGCCCCCTCCGCCCCGACCACTTTATTTCGGCACCGCACCCCCCCCCGCTCCGCCCCCTCCCCCGCGCCGTCTCAGCGCCCCCGCGGCTCCAGCGCCCGCCAGTGCCCCCTCGCACCCCCGACCACTCCTATTTTATTCGGCACCGCATCCCCCCCCCACCGCCCGCTCCGCCCCCTTTCCCCGCGCCGTCTCAGCGCCCTCCCGCGGCCCCAGCGCCCGCCCAGTGCCCCCTCCGCCCCGACCACTTTATTTCGGCACCGCACCCCCCCCCGCTCCGCCCCCTCCCCCGCGCCGTCTCAGCGCACCCCCGCGGCTCCAGCGCCCGCCCAGTGCCCCCTCCGCCCCGACCACTTTATTTCGGCACCGCACCCCTCCCCGCTGCGCCCCCTCCCCCGCGCCGTCTCAGCGCACCCGCGCGGCTCCAGCGCCCGCCCAGTGCCCCCTCCGCCCCGACCACTTTATTTCGGCACCGCACCCCCCCCCCGCTCCGCCCCCTCCCCCGCGCCGCCTCAGCGCCCCCCCGCGGCTCCAGCGCCCGCCCAGCGCCCCCTCCGCTTCGACCATTTTATTTCGGCACCGCACCCCCCCCCGCTCCGCCCCCTCCCCCGCGCCGTCTCAGCGCCCCCCCGCGGCTCCAGCGCCCGCCCAGTGCCTCCTCCGCCCCGGCCACTTTATTTCGGCACCGCACCCCCCCTCCCCGCTCCGCCCCCTCCCCCGCGCCGTCTCAGCGCCCCCGCGCGGCTCCAG